GATCCAGGGGATCCGACACCCTCTTCTGAGTTCCATGGGCATGGGTATACTTACACACATGCAGGCAATACACTTATATACATAAAATTAAAAAAAAGCTGGGCATGGTGGGCACACCTTTAATCCCATCACTTGGGAGGCAGAGGTAGGCAGATCTCTTGAGTTCAAGGCCAGCCTGGTCTACATAGTGAGTTCCAGGACAGGTGGGACTACAGGGAGACACTGTCTCAAAAAGACCAATAATAAATAATAATAATAATAAATAATAATAATAAATACTGTGTATTAATATACATGTCTTCCTCTAAAGAACATGAGACCTTCTTGGTAAAGCCTCTGTTGCATTCACATTTATTCCAATTGATAAGTGACAGAATGTCTAAACTATTCTGATAGGTAATAAATCTCAAAAGAAATGAGTAGCTGACACTGTGAAAATCAAGCAAGGAGGAAAATGTGTCAAAAACTAGACATTCCTTCGTCATTTTCTTTGCCTATGAAAAAATATCAGTGGTTGACTTTTATTTCCTTATAAAAAGGACTCTATTTAAGGAGCTCTCATGGGTTCGATGTCTAGTTCTACATCAGGCAGGCTTTGGGGGGCTCTCTGTGCATATTCGTTCATCTATGAGTAGAGATAAAATATCCTACCAGAAACAAATCTCAGAGGTTAAAGAAAAAGAACTTAGAAACAAGACCACAGATGACACATTTTAAGTATGCATTATGTCTCTCCCTCTGTTTAAACTAGGAGCACTGACTCTGTGTCATGTATTTAGAATTTGCTCAGATTCCGAAAAACAAGGGCAATCATTCACTCAACTTCACTGCTTTCCCTTTTCCTTTTCACCCAGGAAATTGTCTGATCCATAATATTTTCCGGTCTCCAAAAATTGCTCATGGAAAATGACTGCAAAATATTTATGTAATTAGGACAGTTCAACATTTTCAAAATGGCAAAAATAAACAGCAGTTATGGAACACCTGCTTAAAAGATACTGGAAATAACTGCTTCGTGCTTCATTAACCAGTATAAACACATTTACCAGTTTAAATTTTCTACTGAATTCAGAATTTCCAATTCATTATGAAATGGTCTTAAACTGCCAAATAAATAAATTCCTGGGCAAAATTGTCAAAATTGCATTTTGGGGGCATATCTGCAGGACAAAAGCTCTATAACCTAAGGAGCCTATCATCTACTTATTAAACAAAATTTGTATTTGTTTTAGTAAAACAATTTAGAGTAGCCGTTCTGAATATCTTACCATCTTTGAATAGCATTCAGTATAGTATTGAAGTACGGATGCTTCAAGCACCACTGAAATGAGAAGAAAGATGGAGGAAAGTAAGGCAGGGAGTGAAGGCTTCCCAAAGCCTTCTGAAAATCTCCCCACCTACAAGCCTGAGGCTGATACGCAGCATGATTAGACTGCATGAATGGAATGGGGTAGACCATTGCAAAACCAAAGCAAAGCATTGAGAAAGAGGCCAAATACAAAGAAGTCAATCCAAGCTTCACATGTGGTGGTCAGAGAGTTGGCTGGACACTCATCCCACTTATCATCACATGTCTTCACTTATCTTCAGTCATCTGGACACTTATCTTCAGAAGTGATGTCAGATTACTCATTTGTCAGGAATATATCAACCATTACAATCCATGGTTTCCTTAATTTTAAAGTCTATCTCTTTTCATAATCTTATTTGTCCTTTCTGAAGATGTAAAAGTGATATACTTACACGTTTTTCATTTTGAGGAGTTTAAGGAAACCATTTAACGTTCTTCAGCCTAGTCATTGTCCTGAGCAAAATGAAGAAACAAATCCGAACTATTCACATGCCTCAAAAAGTAAATGCAAACTGGAATGGTGGTACACATCTTTAATGACAGAACTCTGGAGGCAGAGGCAAGTGAATCTCTGTGAGAATGAGGTGTAGCAAGAGCCAGGCCTGCTGGGGCTACAGGGAAGCCCTGTCTCAAAATAAACAAACAAACAAACAAACAAAAGAAAAAGTCCCATAGGACATGAAGCAAATAGTTGACTGCCAAAATCTGCATTAGTTTAAAAACAACAACAACAAAAATCAATCAAATGCAGAGGTGCACACACCCAACATTATACAATAAGAAAATATATAATACTAATATCTGGTATGTAAGGTAGTAAGGAATAGATAAAATTGAGAACCTGTGCATTAATTCACCCATGTATTCATTCGGCAGATACACAGTAAGCACAAGCTATACGCTAGGTAGCATTTGAGAATCTGAGAACACAGCTGAAAGATGTAACCTATGATAAATGAAACAGAAACATTCCTGCCCTACTGGATTTCATATTTTTGAAGAAAGAGGTAGTTAATGGACACATTATTATAAATAAAAGGAGTTTAACAGTAGCAAGTGCTGTAAAGAAAAACTAATCAAGGAAGTACAAGGAGAATCAGGTTATAGGCAAGTATCTTCCCGTGAGAATGAACCTCACAACTTGGACAATTCAAAAGTGTCAGTGGGGTTCTCAGAGGGATCTACATACACAGCAGTAAATCTGATCTTGTACAAAGTGATTACTATTTTCACATAGAGTAGAAGCTTTCAATTAATTTTCCCATTTTTATTTGCTCACTATAGAAAACTCAAAATATATAAAAATGTCAGGACACAAAGATAATCACCATTAATATTTCTATGGACATTTTTATTTTTTGTGAAGAAATGTAAAGGTATGGCTGGGTATGGGTATACATATAAACAATCACAATTATATGCAGTAATATTTCATGTATTTACATATAGTATAGATTATGAATTTTAATCCAGATTAGTAACTATTTAAAAATGTTTGGGTCTTTTTTTTGGTATTTTTGAGACAGGATCTCCCTGTAGCTCCAGCTGTCCTGGAACTCACTATATAGACCAGGCTGGCCTTAAACTCATAAAAATCTGCCTGCCTCTGCCTCCCGAGTGCTGGGATTAAAGGTGTGCACCATCACACCCAGCTAAAATCATTTTTAATCATCCTGCAATTTACCACTGAATACAATTGCTCTAACTTAGTTAACTGTAACCCAGTGGATTCCTTCTGCTTTTCTTTTCTCTGCTGAATAAATAATGCCTAGGATAATCCTTTTTCTGGATAATTAATGTTTACCTAACTCTTAATTCTTTCTGTAGGACATATTACTATAAGATGAATGACTGGGTGTGTTTGATCATTTGAAGGTACTCTTACAGCCTGAATTATGTTTCTGTAAAATTCGTTGGTTGAAATACTATCCATCAGTGACTCAAAAAGTGACTATCTGAATAATATTGAAAGAAGTAAATAGATCAAAAGAAGAACAATATAACTTGTATTCTTAAAAGAAGAGAAAAGTCAAACACAAGCACACACAGAGGAAAGACCACGTGAAAACACAGGGAGAAGATGTCATTGGTTAGCTAGACAGGCCTCAGAAGGAATAAGCCCCACCAATATTTTAGTCTGAGACTGCTTGCTTCCAGTACAGGGAAAACTGAATGCTTTCAGCCACCCAACCTTCAGTGCTTTATAATGGCAATCCTATCAGTCTACCACAGATATTAATGAACATTCTCAAAGAGTCCGATTCATTTTCCTCAAATTCAGAACAATAAATATCTGATGGAGAAAACATTTTTCAATTACATATTGTAAAAGAGAGAAAATAAGAAATTTCATTTATGAGATCACATCTGGAATAAAATGATAATTTTCCTCAGGTAGCAATAACAATAGTAATAGCAATAGAGAAAATCTTTTTCTAAATACTGAATCACAATATGTCACTGGCCTATCACACGCTCCAGCACGGGCCACACTCCTGTCCTTCCCAAACCTGTGCTGGAAGCATCATGATAGAGTGTAGAACTCAAGGAGTGACACAAGGAAAACAGAAGCCACATCTAGGTGTGCTGCTGATTAGGGGATCTTTTCATGGCCCAGTGTTCCTGATTCTTTGCTGTCTTCAAGAGCCTTTGCAGGGTAGTCAGTGACAGAAAAGTATAACAAATAGATAAGCTCATCCACAGGCACCCATCATCAGTTCCCACCCTCAACATGGAAAGAGGAAAAAAGGACAGAAAATAAAGTCATACATGTTACATGGCAGTATGTACAAGACACCAAAAGAGCAAATCTCAAATAAACTCTTGCTAGTCAATGTCTCATGAATCATTCTGGTAAATCCCCCCCACCCTCCGCTCTCACTCTCGTTCTTACTTTCACTATCACTGTCTCAAAATCCATCAAAAACAAACTTCCTGGCAACTTCAAAGATTAGCGGCTCCTAAAATGGCATTTTCAATGTGGCTATTGAGTTCATTTCTAATACCCCCATACGGTCTCACAGTCTTTGATCACGTCACACGCACAGTAAGAGTCTAAACTGAACAGGATGGCTCAAGTCTATAATCCCAGATCTCAAGAGGTAAAGGGAGAAGGAATGGCATGAGTAATGGCCCAGCCTGCTTACAGAGGGAGTCCTGGTTCCAACACATAGATAAAAGTCAATAAAAACTTAAAACTTAGAAATTAGAAACCTCAGAGGGATTTCTATGTGCCTGCATCTCACCTGAGAACATTAGCTTTTATAATGAACATCTAATATTCACATGCTCTCCAAGAGCATATTTCCAGCATCCAGTTAGCAGTGTCTATCACCTTCTTAAGTCAAATTAGACCTGCAGTGTAGGCCCGTGTCTAGTTGCCATTGCAAAAAACAATTTTAAAACAGATTTAAAAGATTGCAGGAAAAGAAATGCTAGCATCAAGCTAAATTATATAATTTTAAGTGTTTCAGAAGATTTTTAAAACAAAATTAAATGGTTTTGAAATATTTTTCACTATAAAATAGTCCAAAAATCACAGTAGTTCTTTGTACATATTTAACCATATGACTAAGATTACAACAGATATTGTCTTCAGCATAGGGATGCGCTCCTCTTCAGGAGGGCATTGTATGTGAGGGGTACTTACAAAGCAGTTCTTATCAGAATTTCTTTTCCAATGTTTCTTGTCTAGTTTCTTGGCCGCAGTAGAATGCAGAGTTGCATGAGCTCGGATTCTGGGATTTAAAGCCAGGATGCTCTGAAATAAGATAAACAATACACACATGTAACTAGGTTGGCATTAAAAAGAATTGAAGTTTCATCTAGGATTCCCACATCTCTTCCTAAAGAGAGGCTTAGCTAGGAGTGAAAACTCTAACGATACATGGCATGCAAAAAGGATTACATGTAATTTAAACAAATTAGAAAATTATTCAAAGCTCCCAAGGTGGTGTTAAAGAAAACTAAAGGGAAAATCTTATATTTGTGACAGTATCTATATGACGAGTCTCAGCACAAATATACAGATGGAGGGGCTGGAAAGATCGCTCATCAGTTAAGAGCACTGACTGCTCTTGCAGAGGACTCCAGTTTGAATCCCAACACCCACATGGGGGCTAACAACCATCCATAACTTCAGTTCCAGGGGATCTGATTCCTTCTTCTGACCTCCTGAGGAGCTATACAACACAAATGCACTTACATACATGCAGGCAATCCACTCATATACATAAAATAAAAATAATATACAAAAAACAAAGATGGAAACTAAATAAATAAGAAAATAAAGCACCATTAGTGTGAATTGATTATACATACTGGATAAAATATGAATTTAGTAGTTCCTGTTAGCCTTTCTAATACCTATGAAAAACTTGTCAGAAATAATCACCGTAAAAATCATAACCAAAAATCAATTTGGACAAAAACCAAAAAATATATTTTCACCAGAGAAGGGAATCTCAGATGACAAATGCTCCAGTTAACCAAGCAACGTGTTTGCTTATGTCTGTCAACACTTTTGACATGCTAAAAAGAAGTAACTGCTGAAGAAAAATGGAGAAAAGATTTTTAAAAGGTTGAGGAGATGGGATGGTAGACAGAGTGCCTGCTGAGCAAGGATGATGATCCAGGCTTAGATTCCCAGAACTCAAGTGAGAAGTCAGGCCTGTGAGGCTGGGCTGCCAGTAATTCCAGCCTCAGTAGGTGGCTAGCTAGCATAGGTAGACTTGGTAAGCTCTAGGTTCAGTAAGAGATATTGCCTCAATAATGTAGAGAGTGATAAAGGAGGACACCCAACATTAACTTTGGGTGTCCACATACTTGCACACAACACACATGTGCACACACATGCATATGGAAACATATGCACAGACCCAAAGCACATCCCTCACATACATAAAAAGAATTACCATAAAAGACTTGAAAAAGACATGAAAGTTGTCAATAGTAAAAGAGCTTTCATATGGAAAAGGGATTAAGTTTATTTTAAACTAAGAAGGAATGTAAAATCAAGACTGTTGAAATTCGAGATTTTTTAATGCAGATATAAATAAAAAGGCCTCAACTACAATTGCACTATATGTCATAGCAGCAATTATTGCTATTAGGTAAGACAACACATCTCAAAAACCCTCTTCCAGAAAAGTGTCCTTTCTGTCATTTGGTTCTAGAGCACTCAAGTACCACTATTAGCTTTAGAAAGTTTTCTTTCCCTCCTCAACTGTGAACCCTTGGAATTGAAGAATTCAAGATTTGACTTTTAGTCTTCGAGTATCTGATATGCAACATCAAGCAGGCAGCATTTTGTTTCTACCTGAGAAATAAAACATTGAAAATTGTGAATTTTGTTTTTTGTATTACAGGTCACATAACTCTCAGTGCATCAATGATCCTTTTGGGCCTTTGGTCTTTTCACATGAGAAATAAGACCAATGTCTAGACCAAAAGAGTATAGTAAGAAATAAATGAAATGCATGACACAGCATGTTGCCTACACTGTAGAACACCCAAAAAATATAAAGCATATAATTAAAGGCTTATAATATAATTATAAGGCATATAATTTTTATGCTTTAGCTTAGAAAGAACAGTGAGGATCCATGGTCTTTATCTGTCCAGCTCAAAGTCACAGTGTTCTACCCCAAGAAAGCAGGACCAACAACACAGAGTTCCATCTGACCCAACCTCCAGTTGAAGGCTGTGGTGTCTCTGATGCCTCCCAAGAAACAGCATACTGCCATCATTTCTCAGAGCCTCACGGAAACTACATAAAGATTGAACTCCAAGAGAATACAGTTGAGTAAGAGTTCCTTGTGTTGAATCCTTGAGTTGAATCCTTAGCTCTCACCGAAGATCAGAGGCTCCACCTTAGGGGCAACTTGCCAGTAAGACTTGCCAGTAAGGCCATTTACATTCATCTTACTTCACTCTTGAGGTGCAGCAAGCTGAGAAAATCAAAACGATCTCTTCACACCATAACCCTGCTCATAAAGCAAGGTGTCACTCTAGAAAAGTCAGACTGGATAAAAAACAAGATCCAACTACCCCACTTTCTCATTAGAAAACACACTGTAGGTTCAATGGCACAAATAAGATGAAAGGGGCTGGAGAGATGGCTCCGTGGTTAAGTGTACTGGCTGCTTTTACAGAGGACCGGGGTTAAATTCCCAGCAACCACATGGTGACTAACAACCATCTATAACTCTAGTTCCAGGAATCCAACGCCCTCTTCTGACTCGTGGGCATTGCACAACATGGGTGCACATATACACACACAGGGAATATATTCATATATAAAAAATAAAAACAATAAAAATAAAATATTAAAAACAAGATATAAATATTTTTAAAGATATCCTGTGAATTATAACTTTACAAAAGCAGAAGTCCCCACACTAATTTTAAACAACAAAGTTTTGCTAGATATAAAGAGTAAGATTTTATAATGAAGAGGTCTCATCCATCAGGAAGTCAGAACAATTTAAAACATAAATGTGTCAAACAACAAGGCAAAATACATGAAGCAAAATGATAGAACAGAAGGGAAAAACATGTATTTGGACAATGATATCAGAGAACATCAATGCTCCACTTTAAAAAAATGGTCAGTACAACTAGTCAGAAAAACAAGAAAACAGAAGACCTGAACATACTATAAACCACCAAGACCCAATGAAGACTGGGGAACACTCCACCCCAAATGAGCGGAATACACATTCTTCTCAGGTCTGAATGTACGACTTTCTAAGAAAGAACATATGCTAGATTTAAAAAAAAAAAAAAAAAAAAAAGTTGGTTTGGTGAGATGGCTCAATGTGTAGAGTATTTGACATCGAAGCATGAAAAGCCAAGTTAAGATGCCCAGAAACAACGTGAAGCCAGACATAGTAGCATGTGTCTCTAATACAGCGAGATGAGATGCAGAGGTAGGAGAACTGCCAGAAGCTCACAGGCTAGCTAGCATAGTGTACACAGCAGTAAACAAAATGGGGCCCTGTCTCAGATGGGGAGATTGGCAAGGACTGACATGTGAGGCTGTCCTTGCAGCCCCCACATGAACTGTGAAATGTGACCATACTCACAGACATGAACATGCGTACATCATATATACACATGCACCTGCACATACACACAAAGAACTCTGAATGATTTAAAAGGAATATAACATGTACAGTAGTTCTTCAAACATAATAGAATTGAATAAGATAGTAATGACAGAAAGAAACTCAAGAAATGCATAATGTGAGTAAGCAGAGTGAGCATGAAAATTGAAAGATAACAGCTACAAACACCATGGATTTATGTTTGCATTTCTATAAAATGTCCAGGATAGGCAAACCTGAGGGAAGAGAAGCAGATTAGTGGTTTCCTTGGAGTGAGGGGTAAGGAACAATGGAAAGAAACTGCTACAGAATACCTATTTCTCTGTGGAGCGCTGAAGGCCGATTATGGTACTACTGACACAACTCCATGAATACATAAAAACTCTGAATGCTACCCTTTGTGTGGGAGACTATATGAACTATCTTGATGAATTTGTTATAAAAATTACTAAATGCTACATTCAACAAATTCTGTTGTGTTCCAAATTCACTTTAATAAACATCTTTGGGATTCATTTTAGTTGTTCAAATGTTATAAAACAATTTTTAGTAATTCCTATCTACGGCAAACATACTTCTTTACACTATCAGGTTAGTTGTGTTTTCCAAACAAGGCATGCGCAATAAAACTCTGGTTCTTAATGGTGATTCTTCAGGATGACAAAATGCCAAAGCAACTGATTAAAACATGCTAACTTTAGAAAATTCATCTCATTTTAGAGCAAAAAATAAAGATAATTTCTTACTATAAATAGTTTTGTATCATTTTGTTTTGTTTTGCTTACCTATTGAAGCTTGAATCATTGCAATATCACATGGCAATAGAAGTCAATAAATAAAATAAAATAACATTTTAAAAGTTATTCTGGCCAACATTCAAAGCACATAAACAAGGAAACATGCAAGAAAGATTTCTGAATTTATCTTAGTTTTTTACTTCCACAATCCATATTGTGATAAATGATTATATTTATCTATGTCAGCATAATAATATAACTTTTGAAATAAACATTCTGAATGTAATTTAATGGCTGCTTATCACAATAACTTTTCTTTCACACAGCACACATATAAAGTATAACATAACATGAAATATTGGGTTAACCTTCTACAAGAAGGCATTGAGGTAAATTCAATGGGTCTTGGGTAAAAGTAAATTGGATTGTGGAGAATGGTTACCAAGGATTTGACTTAATAATCTCCAAAATGAAAAGTGATATAAAGTAAGAATACATGACATGAATGTTAGAGAGCTGTTAAAATCGATTTTCCAAAGGAAGATTTTTAAAACTCAAAGTCAGTATCATCGATCAGTAAGCAGCTTTCAGAATAACAAGAGAGAGCTGTGAATATATATTTTCTAAGAAATGACCAAAGTCATGTCCTTCCTTGGTCACGGGGTCCTGTCTCTGGATAAAGTGAGCACTTTAAGAGGCCCATTAACTCTTTAAGATATGAAGTTACTGCTAATAGAGGGAAACTTTCTCATTAAAGAATATGTTATTGGGTTTCCCAGGCATTTTCAGTAGCAGGGTAAGAAAGAAGTGTTGAGGACCAGAGCAAAATCTTTTCTTTTTGACATGACAGGACCATGTCATGGTCATTTTCTTCTGTACTCATGAACTCACAGTAGCCATGGTTGCCTTCTAAAAAT